GGCCTAGCTAGTCTGAAGTGAGATACTCCTAGGCACATGTGGTGTTTTGATCGATGGACATTGTAGGGTCACGAGTGTGGTACAGTGTCTCCTCAGTTCATGATAAGCCTAGGGATGGTTGGGGTCGGCGGGCCTCATATCATGCCTTTGCATTGAGTCATTGGGTTAAGCGGTAGCATTCACTATACCCTTTGATTTTCCTTCATTGAGTTGGAAGGATAATTATATGGTATTTGTGTATGAGGGTCACCATCCAGCTTGAGGGATGAGCGACTAGCAGGCAGACATGCTGCTAAACCCTTGTGGCCAATTGGTAGAGGGGTATTGCAGCTAGGGTAGCACACCTGAGTCTCAGAGACGGGACGGGCATGATGTTGAGTGTCCATTATGCGTGCGGGCAGCCTAAAATGAGGCTAAGGGTTGAAGCTCTAAGAAATGTGCGTCATGGGATAAGATGAGCCTAGAGGCTCCGAGCTGGCTATTGACCAGCATCGGTGTTATGCCTGCAGGATCTTGGCATAAGAGATTGTGTATGATACAGGCAGGCATAATGTTGGGTTCTTACCATGCTAGAAAGTAATAATATCATAAGAATTGAGGCTACAGGCCCCTATGAAAATTCGAGGGTTAGTGCTCTGGACCTTGATGCCTACGAGTAGAGATAGGTGTTTGGGGCCACTATGAGAATCGTGAGTTGATAAGTTGATGAGAGTTTAGTTCCTCCCCATCGAGGTGCGACCTTACGGGATTAGAGCCAAGAAAGACTCATGAGTATGCAGTTTGAAGGATCAGCATTGAACTATTTGTGGAAAAATGGACTCGCGAAAGGCTAACTTCGACTATGAATAGTCTTGGTGTCACACGGACAAGTGGTTTCAGTCTAAGAAACGTGTGGCCTGTGACACCTAGCCAGGTCAAAGTCACCTAACTCGGCATTGAAACTCAAATCCAGCAGAACATTACTTGATTTGATTTCTCGATGCGGCACGCATTGCTCACATTGTTCCTGTAGATAGAACAACGCTGAGGCCAAGCCCATAGCAATTTTATACCTCATCTCCCATGTCAAAAAGCATGGTTCTCTAAATAGCTGGTAATCGGGACTCTTATTTGGAAGCAACGCGTAGACTATGAGGAACTACTGATTGTCATGGCACCAACCGATGAGTTGGACAAAATTCCTGTGCCTCAATCTGCTAATAGTTTTCACTTCTGATGCATACCCTTTCTCCCTTTGTTGGTATTGTGGAGTTGTCTTTTTGAGAGCAATATTGCAATTCACGTCCCTTAAGAAGCCTAAATAAACCTTTCCAAAACCACCCTCCCCATGCAGACCTCATCAGCAAAATTACAGGTTGCACATCCAGTTCCTCGTATGAAACTTCCTAGTTGCAGTCACCATTTCCATTTCTTCGTTGACAAACATGGTATTATCTTCCTTGCCCCTGTACTTTTTCCTCTAACAGAAAAACCGAGCCAGAGCCAAAACAGGGAGCAGAGCAAAAATTCCACCAGCAACCCCCAAACAACACATAGCCATGACCTGCTCTTCCTTCTGGGTTGACTGCAGGACTGGTTGGGCTCGTTGCTGCAGCAGGTGTTGCTGTTGGAGGATTACTCTGGTAGGTTGTATTCATAGCATCTTGTAAGCTAGAGCTGAATTCCAAGTAGTATGTATCTCAAACAAATATCCAGTGGCTCCTGAGAAGCCAAAAGTCACCCATTCTGACAAATATATGCTAAGATCCAGCACCGTAGAAAGACTAGATGAATTATTATGAGTGAAATCATCGGCATCAAGTAAAAAAACACTCAGGTTTTTTTTTACTAGAGTTGTAACCGATGAAAACATCAACTTTTCCCCCATTTGCAGTATCACTCCACCACCTTTCGAAAGGGCTAAGAGAATTCACGACAGAGTTGAAATCAATGGCCACACATGCCGTCGGGATCCACATGATTGGAAAACGTATCAAACTCCACTGCAAGAAATTTAGGGTTAAGGTTACAAGTAGGATCTCTACTTTGAAGTCGCAACAGACCGCCTGCGGATTGAGGCGGGATTTTTGAACCATTGGGAGCAAGGAAAAACACAAAACCATCACCCTTTAAACTATCCTCGAGGGAATCAATGACAAAGAGAAGTGAGTAGAGAAGTGAGTAGTGAAATCTGCAAGTACGAGATTCCCAGATGAATTGTACCAAAGGTGCATTGGTTTGTAATGCGTGGCTCGACCAACACTATTATTCAGAACCTTCTTTTTTTGGGTTACTGGTGAGTTGGATTACGTTGTCTGATGGTTATGCATCAACTTCATACACAATGTCATGCACATTTGGGTTGAAAGCAGTGAAATTGAAATTGATGTCATCATCGATTATTGTTGCCCTTGAGAGAGGAAGCAAAACCAAAAGAAGGAAGCATAATATGAAGAGAAATGCAGGTTTCCATATTTGAGATATAAGCTGTCAACATTTTGAGAGGTCATGATTTTCAGGGTAAGGACCGAGGAAAGGTGCTGCAAATGCAAAGTACTCCTAATGATTTTCAAGATTTTTTGGCTAGCATAAGTAATAAGTTAGTCAAAATAACAATCTAGAATTTTAACATGGATCGCATAACATTATGGATGTGCCAACAATATTAGTTGAATCGGTAATAGTAAAATATTTCATTTTCAAGGTTTAAATTCAATTTTTATTGTTAATGATTTATTTGATAGATAATTTATAAAGTCAATGCAAGTTCTCACTTAAACTTTTAATGCACCAAAAAAAGTTTTAATCTGATTACTTTTGTTAATTTAATATAATTGAATATTTACTGTCTAAAATATCTAACTAACTCAATATTAATCTAAATCTCTTCTCACTCTCTTATTTTATGTCTTAATTTCTTATAAAATAAAATTTATTTTTTATTCCAATAAAATTAAATGTATTTATGTACAAATCAAATATTTAATATAATGTCCTAAAGTTTCATTTGATTGTTATGTTAACTATTTTTTTTGGTTTAAAAGAAAAAAAATAAAATTTCCATTTGAATGAAAAAGTTGTAATCTGTTTAGAGAACAATAATGCATGATTTAATTAGTTTACATAGAATGATTATATTGAAATTGATGTCGCGTTGCATATAAAGGCATTTATTTATTTTTAATCAATCTTTATTTTATTTTTTTATTATTTATTTTTATTATAATTTAATAGATAGATAGAATATCAACAAATGATTTGTTCAATTAGTTAAATTTTTTTTTTATATAATGAAATCTTCGATTCAAGTTTTATCAATGGTTATTTATTGGGTTAATTTCGAATGCACGATCTGTAATTATTTATTTTAGATTATCAACTATGATATATCTTATTTTAATTTAGAGATTAAATAATTTATTTATTTTAAATTAAAAAAAAAACAGATGGATAGAATTTATGAGTACATGTTTTGTTGTTGTAAATTGTTGCAAGAAAAGCATCATTCTAATTTGTACAATATTAAATAAAAAAAAAAGTGGACGGTGGACACGCAAACAGGTAGACAGGCAGAGACAAAAGTCTTTGAAAGAAATTGAACTTTGTTCGGCTTGTCGTCTGTGAATAATAAGAGTGGTCGTTGCAATTTGCAAAGACTTAAAGACTTCTATCAAGTCAATAGTCTCCGGCGAAACAAGAGCCCGGGCTTGATGGGAAAGAAAAAAAGTGTTTAATTCAATAATTTAGTTAAAAATTAAAAATATTATGAAATTTAATCATTAAAATGAAAAAGTTTTCTTACTTTCTTTTCGTTTTTATCGAACAAAACTTAAAAATTTATTGTTTTAAATCTTTTATGTATATATTTTATTGAATCGATATCTTTTATGTCTATTTTAACTCCACCATAAAAGTCAAAAACTCCATAATTAAATATTTAAAAGTAAGGTTCATTTAGTGTCGTGATCGCAAATGTAAGTGTAACAAAACACATGACAAATTTTTTTTTTTATATATTTAGTGTTAGTCTAGTATTATTATTGTCGTAAAAAAATTTTTGAATTAGAAAAAATGTGGTTAGAAATTTAAGTATTTGATATTATTGTAAAAAAAAATTATAAGTAATTGAAATATTAAAAATATATATAATATAAAATATTAAAATATTAAAATGAATAAAATGATTTTTATTCCAAATATTTTTTTTACCGCAGCAATCTTCTGAAAGAACTTTTTGGTTTGAATTGAAAATTTAAACTTTCAAATTGAAAAGCCAAAATTATCTTATTATTTAATTTTATGATTGAATCAAAAATAATTTTTAACACAAAAACTATTTTTAATAACAATGCTAAACCACAGCTTAATTTTTTTTCAGTTCTCGTAATTTTCAAAAGCTACTACAACTTTCATACTAATGCTTACTGGGCAACAATTTGGCTTAGTTAAAATAGGGAAAGCATTTTCCAACAACGACCACTCAAAAATATCGATCTAGGTTGCTCGGAGATTGACATGATACATATACATATATATATATATATATATATATATAACCAAGAACAATAGGTTTGATTTATTTACACGAACTTCATGGATATTTTTACCGTTTTTCTTTTTTTTTTTGGTACCATTGCTCTTAAAAGAATAATGCATCCTTAAACTCTTTGGCTTGAAATTCTGATAATGCTTAGAGCATAAAATGTGCAGAAATCTTATCAGCCATGAAGTTCACGGCCTGGGTATTAAGAAGTTACAAAATTTATGGCCTGTGTATATTTACCAAATTGCAAAATACAATACAATACTGTGTAGTCAGTGGAAAATTAGGAATTTTGACTAGTAGTGTTAAAGATAGTTTCTCATTTATTGTATTTTATATAATTACTAGAATATATAATATATCTAGTATTGTAAAAATATATTATTAAAATTTCATAAATAATGCCAATAGCATATAATCTATTAATAAAATATTAGATTTTTAATTTCAATAATTAAAATTTAATATCTGATAATCTTAAATACAATAATATATATAATCGTTTTTAAATACTTGGTATATCATGATTTGTTACAAACATAATAAATGTAAACAACAAATATAAACCTTATTAAATACCTGCTATAACATTATTTCTTCTACAAACTATTAGTATATCTTCACAATTTCTTGTCAATTAGACCAGCTTAAAAAATTTAATTAAACCTTATATAAATTAAAAAAAAAAAGTGGCGTCAATTGACCCAAAATATTATCTAAAAGTATTTATGGCCCTTTGCAATTGAAGATAATTAACCATAAAAATTGTAAAAAAAAAAATTGTACCACCAAACTCTAGTTTAAAAAAAAGGAAAAAAAAATGATTGCAACATGTAAATTTGGTTATACAAACACGTACGATCAATTCAACGCGGGACTGTAATACTCAAAGTAGAAAAACATGGCTCACTTGCTCTATTTCCAGAAGCCATTGGTACATCATACGTGGGAGTGGGCCTCGTACTTGGAAGTTTTGGCAATGGTGCCTCAAAATTAAGAACCTGAATTGCCTGCCTTATTGACGGTCTTAAATTCTGGTCTGGATGGACACACCACAGTCCAACCATCAACAAGCATTCCATCTGTTTAGCATCAAAGTCCAGACGTAGTTTCTGGTCTGCCACATCAAGCAGCCTTTGGTTTCCGTATGAATCCCACACCCAGGCTACCAATGAGGCCTGGGACTCTTCATATTTGGGCTCTATTGATCTTCTACCGCATGCCAGTTCCAATGCGACAATTCCAAAGCTGTATACATCTGATTTCTTGCTAGCTTTTCCTGAAGAAACACACTCAGGGGCCATATAGCCCAAGGTTCCGGCTAAATGGGTGGTTTGTGACCCTTTTGCATGATCAACTAGCCTAGCTAACCCGAAATCCCCAAGTTTAGCATTGAAACTAGAATCCAACAAAATATTGCTAGTTTTGATATCCCTGTGTAGAACACAATGATCTCCTTCTTCATGTAGATAGAACAGAGCTGATGACAAGTCCTGCACAATTTTAAATCTCACCACCCAGGTCAACAAGCTCTTACCTTTGAAAAGATGAGAATCTAGACTGCCATTAGCCATGAACTCGTAAACGAGTATCAGTTCCCCTTTTTCATGACACCACCCAATAAGCTTGACCAGATTCTTGTGCCTCAATCGGCTAATGATCTTCACTTCAGATGCATATTCCTTGATTCCTTGCTTTGAGGCCTTTGAAATCCTTTTAACAGCAACTTCGGCATCCAAGTCCCTCAAGTACCCTTTATAAACTGCACCAAACCCTCCGTCTCCTAGTTTTTCACCCTTGAAATTACTTGTCACTTTAGCTAATTCTACCAAGGAAAATTTCCTAGGTGCCATTCCATTTTGAAATTCACCACCAAAGAACACGTCAGATATGTGATCATCTATTTTGTCCTCCTGTTTTTTTCCCCTTGATAAAACGAACCAAATGAAACCTAGGCCTAAAATCAAGGCACAAGCTCCAACAATTAACCCCACCACCAATCCCTTCCTGTCCTTTCCTTCTTTCAAAGGAAAGATATGTGGCGCAGAATCAGGGCTTGGCTCAACTGCTTCAATGATAGATTGGTTCCCATCAGTTGGACGCTTGCCAATGATGTTACCTGGGGGATCATAGTTACAACTAACAAAAGTTCCCCCATTATAGCATCTTACTTTTGCACATCCAAGACGAATTGAATTAGCCCAGATCACTTGAGTGTAATGGCCACATATCTGGCCTGGAGCGCAAGCATTTGATTTCCAGTCATAATAGACCTTCTCATTAATCCACATTCCGACAGCCTCAGATCCAGAAAGGTTACCGCTGCTCCCTGCAAGATTCTCACCATAAGGCCCTCCTGAAGGCACAAGATTGCAGTCACCACTCCTCTGGTCGGAATAGTTCAACGCGTATGCAGCCACCACATTGTCCCAAGTCATGGGCCGAACACCAACCGCCGCACGAGCTGCGTTGTGAACATTCAGGTAGTCTAGAGGTGAATCTTGCGACTGATTAAATGAACTTTCTGCTGCAGAACTAGGGCTTGGCGATGCTACTACTGTGACGTGGGCTGACTCGGATTGAATCGCAACAGTTGGAAGGTCACCAGTGATGTTAGCGGGAGGGTCATAATTGCAAACAATAAAAGTTCCCCCATTATCGCATCCTACTTTTGCACATCCAAGACGAATTGAATTAGGCCAAATCACTTGAAAATAATGGCCACATTCTTGGCCTAAATCACACCAACCAGATTCCAAGTCATAATTGCTCTTTTCATCAATCCACATATTCACAGCTTCAGATACAGAAAGGTTACCGATGCTCCATGCAAGATTCTCACCATAAGGCCCTCCTGAATGCACGAGGCTGCAGTCAGTACTCCTCTGATAGGCATAACTTTCGGCATAGGCGGCCACCGTATAGTTCCAAGTCATAGGCGGCACATCAACCTCCTTACGAGCAGCATTATGAACAGTTAGAAAGCCTTGATCCTGAGGGTAAGTCTGGTTTGTTGCCGAATAACTGAGCATCCTTCCTGATATTGAAGCTGAACCTTGTGTTCCCATGCGAAGGAACAGAGCTAAACCAAAAAAACAAAAGGTTAAAGAAATATTGCGTAACTCCATTAGGTTTTATGCGGATGATATTCTGCCTCTGGCTCAATTAGCTGATCATTTATCGATCACAAACATAAAGTTAGAGCTCTCTCTTTCAAGACACAACAAGAACTCCACAAAACTGTCGACAGTCAACACACTTCCGCTACGACGTACTCAAACAATGTATGGCTTAAATTATTGGAAATAAGATGGGCATTTATGCCAATTCGCACGATACCGACGTGTTGGTTTTCGCTTATCAGGTTGAAAAAATATAGTCATCCTTGAATATAAAACGTGTTTTAAAGATTAAATGATCGACAAATTCCAATAAAAAAAATAACTCAACAAGTGAATTTATTCATCTAGATTTAAATAAATATAAATTCAAATTTTATTGATGTTTTGTTAATTAATTTTAATTATACAATTTATATGATTTGGGAGGTTTTATATATATGTAACGTTTTAATTTAAAAAATTGAATAATCTATTTTTTAAAAATATTTTTTAAATGATGAAGAATCAAGCACGATCTACTTTTAAAGACATTAACTCATAGTAGACGAGTCCTGATGTAATAGAAGAAATGCAAAAGCAAGGCTAACAAATTTACCCCATGAAAAGTAAACAGAACCTTTCTATGTCAAGGAAAAATAAAAAATTAAGACTGCAACCCGAATTGGGATTTCCAAACCGAGTGATTCGGGTCAATACGAATTGGGTTATGTAACAGATCCACTTACATTTGAATTTGACCCGACCCAAATCATATATGCCTGAGTTGAAATGGATGTCATGTCGATTTTATTCCATTTTTTTTTTAAACTCTCGTCTCTATACTTCCAATAATTTTTTAAAAGCTAAAATACTAAAAAAAAATTCTAAACTATTTCATTTTTTAAAATTAATTTTTATACTTTTATTTATTCAAATAAATTTTTAAATTTTAATTTGTATTCAAATAAATTTTTATTTCAAATGAAAAAAATAATTTATATTAAGAACTTATTTAGGTTTAAATTAAAAATTAAAGATTTTTTTAGTGTAAATTAAAGATTAAGAGTTAATTTAAATGCAAAAAGAGTATAAAAATTTATTTAAGTAAAATTATAAAATTCAAGAATTTTTTTTATTATTTTAATTTTTTTAAAAATCTTATAGACTGAAACAGAACCTACAAAAATCTGGTGCCTAAAACCTTCCAACTATAAGAGTAAATTTAATAATTTTAAACATAATACAAAGACACAATAAAAAACGACCCACTTTATGGGATGATTTGCCAAGTGGTCCATTTAATTATTCAGATATCGGATCACGGGGTTTTTTTTTTTTTTTCTTTTTTCTGTAATCCATGTATGCCGTAATTAAGTCACATAAAACATGTCTTAACGGTTGTGATCCTTAATGGCTGAGCCCTTTTGTATTAAGTTATCCTTAATGGTTGAGCCCTTTTGGGACTCTTTTGACGGCAGTCTATTGTATGATACTGTTAGATTAATTTTAATTTAGGACTTCAGTCAGAATTTTTTTGGCCAAAAATCTAAGGGAGGTTTAAGTTTTTGGTCTTTGGCAACTTGAAGCAGCAATGTTCACGTTCAGCGCCCGATCATGATATTTGGCTTTGGGATCAATTAAAAATATATATATATAATTTGAAGTATCTCATATTTTTTATTAATATATAATAGATGCAAGTAATATAATACTAAAACATAATAAATTCATATAATTGTAAGTTTTATCAATTTATAAACAAAATAATACAGAAATAAAAATACATCAAATAAATAATTTAAAACTAAAATTTATATATAAATAATTATTATATTTAATCAATATTTTTTAATAAAAAAAGAAAAATAAAAATATATTAAAAAATAAAACTGAAACATTTTTTTTACAAAGGAGGGAGATAAGGGAAGAGATTTGCACGTGGCAGCCTTGCAAAAATCCACTTTTTAGGCATTTAAAAAAATAGATAGAATATTTGGATTAAATTTTAAGTTTAATAAAATTCAAAATTTGAGATTATATATTATAGTATTTTTCTATCTTTTATAAATTGGCCCTAATTTGACTTTGATGATATATATATATATTTTTTTTAAATAGCAAAAGTGTCAAAACTCGATATTAGAAGAGCTTTTCATAAATGGGTAATACATGTCAATTTATAGAGTATATAGCAAAAATTAAGAAAGAACCCGACAAAACATAAAAAAATAAATTAAGATTCCCATGTATATGATGAAAAGAAATTTAAAAATATACATACATATATATATATATATATATTGATATATAAGATACGTGTAGTTCATAAGAGAAAGAAAAAAGCTCATAGTTCGAAATCATAACCTTTATGTATTTAACTAAGCCAAAAAACTAAGAATATATATATATATGTGTATTTATATTTGATATATTATTAATGCATAAACTCTATACATATGATGTCATCTCATTAATAAACAAATATCAATTCTTAAAATAAATACATAAAAATTAATATTTTAAAAAAATTTACTCAAAATTAATATTTAAAAAAAATTATTCATTAATGAGATGACATCATTTGATTCGTTTCATTAATGAGATATCATTATCTAATTCATTGATAATGTATAAAATCTATATACTAATAATACATCAAATATAAATTATATATATGTATTAATAAACAAATATTAAGAATTTGTTTGGTTGGAAAGATGAAAAGCAATGAAGATAAAAAAATTTGTTCATTTAATAGTTAAACTATAAAGTAAAAAAGTTGTTATAAATTTTAATTATTAAATTAACAAGTTTTTCGTTATCACCTTTTTTTTTCTTTCATGTCAAGCAAAACCTAAAAATAATTTTAACTTGGTAAAAAAATAAAAAATAAAAAAAAGGTATAGGATACTCGATAAAAGAAAAAACAATAGAATAGTGTTGAAAACTTGGAATATTGTTAGAAAAATTAGAAAGTTAATTTGTGTTTTTTAAAATTTACATGATTGTCACTTAATATTTGTTATAAGTCTTAATTTAAAAGATTTATAAATAATGATTGATGATGGACATAATAAATAAATAACAGTGCAATTTTAACTTTTTTAATGATAATTATAAAATAATCAAATAAAATTATTGATAATAATTTTGAGTATCTTAGCTGGAATGGAATAAAGGTTGAGGATAAGAAGATCTAAACTTGTAACTAAAAGAAACGGTCAAGTGATGTTAGAGTTGTTTCTTTAAGACATATTTTGACACTCAAGTTTATGGAGATAAAAGGTCAGGTAAAAAAGAAGGTGATGTGTATGTGAGAAGTTTCAATGGAGGAAAAGATATTTTAGGTATGAAATATAAAAATTATCTTATGTACTTAGATTTCCTTTTCATCTTATATATAAAATAATGGGTGATTATCTAACAATTGGTGAGAATGATATGTAGAGCTTAAGTAGAATTCACGTTGAATTTAATAATTTCAAATAAGAACATATTATATTTAATAATTTAATGTAAATTAGAGATTAAGTGTTCAATTTTGATACGATGAGACGTTATTAAAGATGCTAAATGAGCCATTTCCTTAATGAGAAACAAGCCATTTCTTTGTATAAAGATGATGTGATGATTGAATGTGCTCCATCCAAACAATCCAAAGGGTTGCCATGTTAACAAAAAATTAACTAAATAAACGAGCGTTAACAAAAATTAACAAACTATATTAATTTTGAAAGCCAAATTAAATTTGTTCAAAATTTTTGAGAACCTTGTCTCTATTTACGATCCGACTCAGATTATGTTTGAAGTGCTAAGAGCTATGGGTGGTGAAGTTTGTTTAGAAAAAAAAAAACATATTTTTTTCAAATATGAACCGGGTAGGGTAACTCATGATAGAACTCCTAATCTGTTATTGACCCATCAACAACAATTCGGCTTGACCCGTATTGAACTCTTATTCTCAAGTTTATCTAACTCAAGTTATACCTTGGATAAAACACATGGACCCATGACATTGAATTATTGAGGATAGGACAACTATGTTTTGGGTGCGTATGGACCACGGTACTTGGCTTGACTGTTGCTTTTTCTTCTTGTGGAAAATCTCAAAATTGAAAGCGTGTGTGACGGGACATCCCCTTAATACAACTCTTACGCGGAAATAATAAATAACTGGGGAAAGAAAATTCGTCGTGGAAGAGAAGGAAGTTTCAGCCGTGCCAGCCTGTTTGTAATTAGCAAATGTTGATCAGAGCATTGAAAGCACATTTTTTTCAGTGACAAATTTCAGCAATACTTTAGAACATGCCATTGCACCGGAAACATTTCACTTATAAATTTTTTTATTATAATAAAAAATTACATAAAATTTCATTTATAAATAAGACTTTTATATAAAATTTTGATGATTTTTATATAATTTTGAATTATAATTAATTAATTATATTATAATTATTATAGAAGATGTGTTCCATTTACCAATTATATTTGACAAAAAATAAAAATAAATTTAAAAAGTAACGTGTAATTGATAAAAATAATGTGTAATTGATAATCTATTGCATAACTGCTAATAGAATTAATACACATTTTAGTAAAGTGATAAAAAAGAATATCTACAATTACACAAATTGTTGGAAACTGAAAATTTCAATCGGCAGTATCAACAATTAATTAATTATTAATGCTTTCGAGATCTTGATTTAGTCATAAAGAAAAGATTTTAAAAATTTAAAATCTTAAGTTCAAATTTTATTGTCTATAAATTTACTTTAATGTTATATTAGAATAAATTTTTTTACTTCTACTTCGCATGAATAAGATTTTATCTTAAAAAATACTGAAATAATGTATATATATATGCACAAATATATATATGTGTATATATGTACACACGCTTATACATATATAAATTTTTTAAATTTTAAAAAGTTATTCTTTAAAAATAATATATTCATATTACTTTATTGAAATAAAAATTAAAATAAAAAATAAAATAATTTTAAAATAAAATTAAAAAAAATTTAAATAATCATATTCAAAGATTTATTTTTATCTAATTTATATTTGATAATCCAACTATTAAATTTTATGCACTATTCAAATAAAACATTCTTGCCAAATTTCAAGTAAATTTAAAATATATAACTATCTGTGTGATAATAATAAAATGTTAATCATT